CATAAAAATCAATCTAGAGAAAATCAATTTAGAATATTCCAATGCCCTGAACGTTCGTTCATCTGTCGCGTCATGCATCACTCATCGATATATCTATTCTCACATTCAAATACAACAATTTTCATAGATGTCATGAAAACTGACTTTATGGGGTAAAAACGAGCATTATTAACATAAAAATCAATCTAGAGAAAATCAATTTAGAATATTCCAATGCTTTGAACGTTCGTTCATCAGTCGCGTCATGCATCAGTAAAATCAATATAGAGAAAAACGATTTAAAATATTCCAATGCTTCGAGCGTCATTCAAAACGCATAGTCGCGTCATTCATTACTCATCAATATATCTATTCTCACAAATCCATCCATTCCCACAATTCTCACAGAAGTCATGAAAATTGACTTCATAACGTCTTTAACCCTTTACGGACGAATGTCGGCATTTCGATGAGATGAAATATTCATATTCAGAAGACCAACTCGCGAACAAACGACTTAATTAGTCGAACAGCAAGAGATCAGACCGTAGTTTCCTTTTTTTCTGTTAATAAAGCAATTGACATATAATTTAGCTTTATATGTTGAAGGTTTTGCATGTTTCGAAGAATTTAATTTAATAAATTTAATAAATGTAATTTTTATTTAATAAAGTAAATTAAAATAATTTAATAAATGTAATTTTAATAAAACATCCCGCCGTGCGTCGTTCTTCGATCGGAACGAGGAGCGGCCATCTTTACGGGACCTCTTCGTGTGCTACGACGCGACGTATTTAACGTGTTGACGTAAATGACGCCTGTAGACGTCCATTTTGCGTGTTTGTCGATGCGGACGTCTATGGCAGTCCTATTTTTAGTATTATAAAACAATTAAAGAAATGTCTATCACTGTTGAATTTATTAACCTCTAAATCCTTTAGGCTTCTCTTAACACTTTGTCATGGTGGTCATCGATGATCGAAGCTTCCAAATTGAAGAACAATTATAATGAAGAATCTGATTACAAATTGTTCAACGTAATCATTTATCAATTTAACACATTTTTGTTATGAATGTATTAAAAATTCCTCTTTTATTAAACAATTTTACCTAAATAAAACTAAAAAATAAATTCTCATATTTTACAGTATTTTGTTACATTTACTACTAACGAAAATTTACAAAATAATTACTGTATACACATCTTAATACACTTTAATTAGTTTTAATTAAATTATTTGAAATATTCAATTTGAACCACAAAAGAGAAGAATTTATTAATTCCTCCAAAACCTACGATCTAAACTGAAATTTTATGTTTCCTTTTACTTGTTTTTCGTTTAATTGTAAAAAATAATCTGGGACACAAATGACAATGATCACATTCATGATTTAAATTTAAACTATTTTTTCATTTAAATATAAAAAAAACAATCTGAGACACAAATGACAATAATCAAATTCTCGATTTAAATTCAAATATCGATTCCAACGCCCTCGTGCGCAAACGTAAGAAAACAATTCGTGAAAGTGGAGTCGCGTCATTGCGAGGCAAAGATGGAGAAGAAGGTTATAGACCAGAAAGAATACTTGAAGAAATATTTATCCTCGGGCACCGGCGATGACAAGAAGAAGAAGAAAAAGAAAAAGCCGAAAACAGGAGCAAAAACGTAAGTGTCAATTTGCGAACATCATACCTTCCCGTGGCAGTTTCAAGAAGGAACGTTTGTGTTTTAGGTTATATTGATTGTTTCACGCATCTCCCTGGAAATTTCAGGGTGAAACGTATGAAAAGTTTGTAGAATGAATCTATGAGAAAGCTATGTACCTTATGTATTGTCTGTCGTTTGTTTTGCCTCTGTGATAAAAGTAACGCTGCAGATTCCATTGACTAGAAGGAGCAGTGTGTAACACAGCATATAAGATCAATAACTGTACCCCACGTTTAGCGAGTAATAAGTTGTTTAAGGAGACTGTTCGTTTCTGCGCACTCAGTCCGAGGTGTATTTTCCAGAGTAAAGATTATTGACGATGACATAGACCTGAAGAACATGAGACCGATCGCTGATCACGAATTCGATATATTCATTGATGGAGAGGACGCCCCGCAGATCGCTGGCATAGTGGATGAACGAGGCCCGATCGATTTCTCTGATCAGAGGAGATGGAGAATCATTTCTAACGACCAGGACGGAGATCTGACTATTAGTCAGTGTAGAGACAGCAAACAGTCGAAAATTGTTACGAACGAGTATGATCGGGATTTAAGTCCTCCAAAAGAATCTGGTACACGTAAGCTGAATAGTAAGAGTTACCATGGTTATAGAGACGATGATTCGAATGTGGATACTGCGTCACATAAAAGTAGAAAGGATAAGAAAAAGATGAGAGTACCTGATTCGGAAGTAAGTTCACCTGGTCAGAATAGAAACGAGAATTATGACTCGGATTTAAGTCCGCCTAGGAAAAGTTCTCGCAAGAACTATGATTCTGATTTGAGTCCACCGAGGAAGAGTAAAAACAGAAATTATGATTCTGATTTGAGTCTACCGAGAAAGAGTAAAAACAAAAATTACGATTCTGATTTGAGTCCACCTAGAAAGACCAAATCGAAGAACTATGATTCAGATTTGAGTCCACCTAGAAAGACCAAATCGAAGAACTATGATTCAGATTTCAGTCCACCTAGAAAGACCAAATCGAAGAACTATGATTCAGATTTGAGTCCACCTAGAAAGACAGTATCGAAGAACTATGATTCAGATTTGAGTCCACCTAGGAAAACTAAATCTAAAAACTATGATTCCAATCTTAGTCCACCAAGAAGGAATAAGAAGCACAAATCTGAGAAAGCGACAAAACATGCGAATAAAAGTGATTCGGATCTAAGCCCACCAAGAAGAAGTAAGAAAGACGAATATGAGAAAAAGAAATCGAATATAGATTCTAGAAAACACAGAAAAAATTCTGACTCAGACTTAAGTCCACCAAGGAAATCTGAAAAATATATGAATTTGCATGTAAGTTCCAAACAAAGGTATAGAAATGACGATCCTGATCTCAGTCCACATAGACAAAGTGGAAAGCATAAACATGGGAATCCGCATGCTTTATCGAAAGTGAGCAAAAGCTATAAACATTTCGATAAGAGTTCTTGGTCAGAAAGGAGGCATAATTCAGATACGAGCCCACCTCGTAGAAAGAACAGAGACAGAAGTAGAAGCAAATCTATGGAAGATAGTAGAAATCTGTACAAGTCTAAAAAGAAAGGTGATGGTAAATATCAGTATGAAGATTCTTATAGAAAAGAGAAACGTACAAGAGATGTCAATGACTATAAGTTATTAGAGTCGAACCCCAGAGATGATAAAAGTGATTCTGAAAAGCGAATGAAAAAGACTTTAGATGGGAAACAAGCAGGTCTACAAAATGCAAGAGCACTACGAGAAGAAACCGAAGCACATAAAAAGAGAGAAGCTGAACATTTCAGCAAGGTATTTATATTTTTTCTACGTTTACTTCTATAATATTATATTAGCATAATAAATAACCAAATTCAATCCTCTTCAGCTCAGTAAAGAAATCACTGGTGTCGGTCAGGCTGCTATCGTAAGAGACACAAAAACAGGTAGGAAACGTAACTTGGAAGCAGAAGCAGCCGAAGAACGTGAGAAGCAAAAGAGACAGGCAGAATTAAATGAGAAGTATGCTAAATGGGGGAAAGGGTGAGTAATTTTAAAGTAGTTTATAAAATTATTATTTTTAAGTATTACTATCAACACATTTATTCATTTCAGCTTGAAACAGGTCGAAGACCGCGAAGAGAAATTGAAAGATGATCTTTACGAAATGAGTAAACCATTGGCAAGGTACGCAGACGATGCTGACTTAGACAAAAGACTTCGGGAACAAGAAAGAGAAGGAGATCCCATGTTGGAATATATCAAACAAAAACAAATTAAGGAAGGAAAAAGGAAACCAGGTACTTCGATCATATTCATCGATACTTCATCATGTTTTACAGATTTAACTGATTTCATAACCTAAAGAACGTACATATAATAAATGCGATTACCATTATTCCAGATCGACCAACTTATGAAGGATCTTACATGCCAAATCGATTCGGTATTAAACCTGGTTACCGTTGGGATGGTGTTGACAGAAGTAACGGCTACGAGAAACGCTGGTTCGAATCACAAAACGCTAAGACTGCACTGCAGGAAGAAGCATACAAATGGAGCACTTCCGACATGTAAAATGTATACATTGTTTCATACAAATCAACAATAACCATCCTGATCAACCACAGGCATTTGAACATTGTAAAATATTCTTTGAACAATCTATACTTAATAAACATCTGTTTAACATTAGAACAATCGAGCATTTAATACGATTAACACGTTAAGCGCCATATCAGTCATTGATGACCGACACTTCTAAATTGATTGAGAACAATTACAATATGCAAGATGACTGATGAGTAAAAATTAATAACGTAAGTAAACTGATGATGTTCTATTACAACGGTTGTGATGTCAGTTAATTGTTCCTAGTTATCTTTGCTACAAAAGAATAAGTGTTATAAACGCTCAAGATTTCTGTGGTGCTTAACGTGTTAACTCTTTGCACTCTGAAGTTTCTTGCTAGAAACATTGTAACATTTTCCGACAAAGTAACAAGGATATTTCATGAAACTCAAAGAGAAATCACATGTTTGAGGAACAAAGCTATTTTATTTCATTTTCCAAATTGGTGAGTTATACACACTCGGAAGGTCTCTCTGTCACCACTGGATTCAACGCAGTAAAACTAAAATCTGATATTTAACGTTGAACTTTGTATAACACCTCAATACATGATACACTGCAATAAAACAGCTTCGTTCTTCAATGTACTTGTAATCTCTGTACGAGTTAGTCTCAAAGAATATTGTCTTTATCTCGTCAAAGAATGTTACATATTTCTAGCGAGAAACTTGCCAGTGCGAAGGGTAAAATATCAAATTCTGTAGCTCTACCATAAGAAATCAGACGATGACAGTCACCGCCAGAGTGCAATGGGTTAAATATCAAATTCTGTAGTTCTACCGTAAGAAATCAAATGATGACAGAGAGTCATCTTTCAAGTGCAAAGTATCAATACATAATCCCCATAAAAATAACAACAACAAATTACTTCCAGTGTCCTCAAACACTCATCATACTCAAAACTATCCCCAAGATCATCAACAGCAAAGCAAAAAGCCCAAAATAGTCAGAAATAACCTCGAAGTTCACAGACATAAGCGCAATCATCAATCGGCGAGTCACGCGACAATAAACGCACACAATCCGAATCGGGATTCCGAAAACGGGGGAATCGATATTCGTTCCAGAAAGCAATAGCGAGGCGCCAGTCTGGCAGCGGTCTGGCGTAATTCGCGAGATCGATCGGACTTGCGAAAAGTGTGCCCGAGACAGCGCGATGGACCGGGCTCGCCGCGACAGCGAAAAATACGGTCCAGCGGTCGCTCGATTCAAACGGTCCGCAGGCCGGCGTGAGGCGCCGCGTGGTCAGCGGGCCGCGCGCATGTGTGCGCGCGCCAAACGCACTGGGCTATATATCGACTCGGCGCCGCGACGCAAGGGCAGGGTCGTCGGCGAAGTCAGTACGTCTCGCGACGTCGACCGAGCCTGTGTTCCGCGCGGCGCACCGTAGAGTAGAGTTTAGTGTTCGCCGGTAGTTAAGCGTAAAATAATTATTTTAGTACGCCGAATTTTTCTAGCCCACGCCGGGACCCGACGGCCCGGTTTCTCAACACGCACGTCCAGTTCACACCGTACCGCCGCGAATCGCACCGACGGGAGCCGGCACCACGCCGTGTCGTTCACCCCCGGCTCCGCAGCGAATTTTCGGAAAACGCTGATCCCACTCGACTGTGATCTATCTCACCCCGTGTGCCCGTTGTTCGTCCGAATTTTCTTTTCTCGCGACGGGTCGTCCTTTTGACGGCTCGATGTCCACGGGAGCAGTTGGATTGTAATCGCGACTCACACGAGTGTCAACCGGAGGTTTGGGCGTTTGCTATTGGAGGATACAGGGACGAAGGAATCGGAAAATGGGATGCAACACGAGCAAGGAGAGCGTGCAGCCCGTGGGGGATGAAGCGAAGGAGGACGTCAAGAACGGCGGTAAGTGGAATTTTGGAAATTGTTCGCGAGTTCCTGTGGAATTCGGGTGGGATTTTTCTACCCTTCGTTTAGGGGTTCTGTGGGGCCGGCGGACGTGGTGGGAGACGATTTTGAAAGTTTTGTTTGAAATTGGTTTTTTTAAATTTCAAATATACGAGTTGTATGTTCTGAAGTGACTTTTTGATTTTTTTGATGATTGGAAGATTGATTATAGGATATGTTGAAAATTCGATTGAGGAAAAATTATTGTACTGAGAAAATAATTGTAAGATAATTAACACTACTTCTACCAGTGTAAAAATTTTGAAATTTTTATTTGAAATTGGTTTCTAAATTTATATATGTATGAATTGATTTTTTGAGTTTTTTGATGATTGGAAAATTGACTGTAGGAAATGTCCAAAATTCAAATGATGGAACTGTGTCGAAATTTTGAAATTTTAATTTGAAATTGTTTTTTTCAAACTTAGTCGTATATTCTGAATCGACTTTCCGACTTTTGTGCTCGTTCGATTTAATTTAAAATCTTCACTACCCCCATTAGATTAATTATATTTCAGATTTTGAAAGAAATAGTTTTTGTCAAATATTTATCAAATCTTTATTTCACATTTTGAAAGAAATATTTTTTTTCAAATGTTTATCAAATCTTTATTTCACATTTAGAAAGAAATATTTTTTTTCAAATGTTTATCAAATATTTATTTTATATTTAGAAAGAAATATTGTTGACACATTATTGTAAGGCGAAGGTTAATGTGACAGCGGAATTAAGTAAAATTAATTAATTAATTAATTGCGTGTATTGTGGGGTAAGAATATTTCATTAAAAGGGAGGTTGAGAAGATTTGAATTGAGGTTCCTATGGAATTAATATAACACCATAAAAAGTGGAAAAGAATTTTATTAAATTTTTTATTAAATTTTAATATAATTTTGTTATAATGTGTTATCTTTTTTTATATTTAATTGGAATGAGAAAATTTTTTCTGCATTTTATTTTTATGTATTTATCCTGGTTGGAATTTTTATATAATTTTACATGTCGAAGAATTTCCATAGAATTTTCTTTTTTATGGTGATTGGAAGGGTGCAAATTTATTGATCGTGGAGGAGGAATGAAACGAGAGTAATTTGTTTTCAGAGGAAATATTGTTAACTTGTTTGAAGTGACGGATCAATCATTCGTTTAATTTCAGTAGCATTATTTATTCTTTTATTACGTCGACAAGTCTGCTGTATTGAAAATAATAAATTGTTTGACAGCCCTTAAGTACACTTTTCAGTTTCGATGAACTTTAATAATGAATTATAATTTTTTATTAGACTTGGATAATATTTAGACATTTCTTTTGTTGTAGAATTTGTTTAAAATATCAGTTTATTGTTATCATTGTTGTCTTTCATATTTCTTTTTACATTGATTTTATTATATTACATTTATTTTCTTTTTACATTAATTTTATTATAATACATTTATTATCTTTTTACATTTATTTTCTTTTTACATTAATTTTATTATATTACATTTATTATCTTCTTACATTTATTTTATTATATTACATTTATTTTCTTTTTACATTTATTTTAGTTAGAGAAAAATATACTTAACACAAATACGATCAAATGTTAATCTCAGAAAAATTTAGATTAAAAGTGGAAACGGAAGATAAAAATCGCTTGAAAATTAAGGGTGACGTTTTCTAAAGAACTTTCATCACGAATCATCACGAATCATCATGAATTTTCGAATCAATTTTTTTTTTAAATAATCATATGTAATTATAATAATCATTACAATTTTCAAATGCCTCGAATCATCACGAATCATCGTGAATCATCACAAATCATCGGGAATCGTCATGAATTTTCGAATCAAATTTTTCTTAAATAATCACATGTAATTACAATAATTATTATAATCATACATAATAATAGCCATAAATGCCACGAATCATCACGAATCATCACGAATCATCATGAATTTTCGAATCGCGCCGCAATCGTGAAACGCAGGCATCTTTGGTCGTTATTCAAAGTTATTTCACTCTGAATTGGCCGTCATTGTGGCGTCATCATCGCCATTTGTCGCGAACACGGGGCAGCAGCAGTACGAAGTGGAAAAGTCTCGCGAGTAATATGAATTTACGAACCCGACGTCGCGACGGAAAACATTCGTGCTCGTAACCGGCTGAAATTTCCCCGTGTGTAATTCGAGCCGAGGCGATCGATGCCGGGAGATTTGACTAACGAACCTTTCAATTACGAACTTTCTTAATCCTGCGGGAGATGTGAAACACATTTTCGGGATATTTCTTTTTATTATTTATTTTATTGTTTGGAAAATTTAATTATTTATTTTATTATTTGGCAAATTGAATTATTTATTTCATTATTTGGACAATTTAATTATTTATTTTATTACTTGGGAATTTTAATTATTTGTAGTATTATTTGGGAAATTGAATTATTTGTAGTATTATTTACTGATATTATTATTTGGGAGATTTAATTACTTGTAGTATTATTTAATGATATTATTATTTGGTAGATTTAATCATTTGTAGTATCATTTATTTATCTTATCATTTAGTAGATTTAATTATTCGTAGTATTATTTAGGAAATTTAATTATTTATATTATTATTTGGAAAATTTAATTATTTGTAGTATTATTTACTGATATTATTATTTGGGAGATTTGGTTATTTATATTGTTATTTGGGAGATTTAATTACTTGTAGTATCATTTATTTATATTATCATTTGGTAGATTTGATTATTTATAGTATTATTTAGGAAATTTTTCATTTGGGAGATTCAATTAAATCAATGCTAAAAATTCATCATGATTCATTAAGAATGCATGATGCAAAAGTATAGTAACAATGGAACATCATTAATGTTAATACCAACAATAAACAATTTTTCATCAATTCATCAATTTTTCAAAACTTTCATCGTAAAATTTCGTCATAATTCATTAAAATGCATGATGCAAAAGGTATAGTAACAATGGAACATCATTAATACTAACACCAGCAATAATCAGACAGTCGTATTTCATTGAAACGACACTTTTTGCATGATACATTCAGTTCATACGTCATTTCGCGTCTTGACGTTACTCTGAACAGTGTAACTGACGTTTTGCAATCAACTCAGGACAATAAGAGCTCTACGTCTACTGGAATAAC